TAAAAATAAATTTAATAATAAACATCTTTTGATCAAATAACTACAATTCTTTTGATATATCATAACACTATAATTTAACAAGGTAGATATATTATAATTAATAGTTAAAATTATCTGTTTTCTTAATAACTCTTTTGATGTTTAATTTTCTGTTTTTATGTTTGTGGAATTTAATATAACTATAATCTAATACTTAAAGAAAATCAGAATTCCTTATTTTTAAAATTATTTAAAAAAAAATTCAGTTTATCATCCAATCAATCTATGGCATGAATTATTTAGAGTTTATAAAATATTTTAGTTATTGTAAATATTGATATGTGTTCATAAGCTTTCAAAAATTTATTATTACTTATGTAATTTAGAATCAGACACTTTAGTTTTTATTTTTTTCGTTCTAAGCACAAAAAAATCTTAAAATACATAATCTTACTAAGATATACTTATATTTCGTAGATAACAACCAACATAAATGTAAATAAAATAATTAATCAAAATTTAAGATATTTAGAATAAAAAAGATTATAGTTGAATTCATAGAATAGAAAGAATCAAATATATATATATCCAAATGATAATACTGACTAAATATAATATATATATATATATAAAATTATAATAACTAAAATATATAATATTATTAATACAAATTATACATACAAACTATAAATTAATATAAAATTTAAGTAAATGTCAATCAACTATTATAATATATTTATTTCTTAAATATTTAAGCCCGTGCATGAGCACGGGAAAATCACCTAGTCTATGTGTATACCAAAAACACATAATTTCTCCTACAAATATGAAATGTTTTAGAAGAATATATATCATCAAAATATGGAATATGGAAATCTACTAATTATACTTAAATTAAGCCAGTGGTTATTTATGAAATATAGTCTTGGGCTTACTTTTATTTTTTTGAACAAATTATATAGTTTGGTTTTTTGGCTTAGTATTAAGAAAAAACTCTAAAAACATTGAATAAAATTTTCACCTTAAAAGATCAAAAAATCAATTATTAGTTTCAGACCCAAAATGTATTTAATATTTTTAACAAAACAAAATTATCTATTATTAATCATTTATTTAAATCATTTACTTTAAAATATGTTAACATATTTTTTTATTTTAAATAACAATCACTTTGTTTTGATAAATTTCAATGGTAACTTTTAAATAATTTATTGTTTTATTTTTCTTAAATAATTTACTGATTAAAAAAATGTAAAGCAAAACCAAAAACCAAATATAAAAACTAAAACCAAAACCAAAACCAAAACCAAAAGCTGAAAACACATGTTATATTTTTTTGCTTTGTTTATTTACAAAATAAACTATTTCAAATTTTTTTTAAAAAAATTGTTATCATCTTTTCAGTTTTAAATTAGATGTTCGATTATTTGAGATTTGTTTGTTGGTAATATTAGTTCAAACTAACTCAGCAGGTTTAAAAATTAAAAACCCAAACCAAAAACTGAAAATGAAAGTAGAAACTTAAAAACTAAAAATCAAAAACCAAAATCTAAAAATAAAAATTAAAACTAAAAACTAATGAAAAACAATCATAACCACAAATTTTGGTGAACTGATTTTATATCAAAATATTTTTTAAATTAAGACAAAACCCAATTATATAAATTTTTAATCATAAAAAATTTCCGCGCTTTCAAGCGCGGGTCAAAATCTAGTCAATATTATTAAAAGAGAAATACAACTTTTATCTATTTGGTACATTTCATCAATAACATCTATTGATTATTTGCATTAATATATTAATTATATAATATTTCTAAAAATCTTAATAATTATGAAGATAAATAGTAAACCAATTTTAACTTTAAATTTGAATTTTATAACAAAATCTGTTGAGAAAAATCTTACTAAATTTCAAATACTTGTAAATTAATTCATTGATCAATTTCAACAATATTCTAAATTATTTAAGTAAATTATCATTAAAAACAAAAGTAAAAATTATTGTTAAATAAAAAATACTAAAAAATATGATAGTTCTATGTATAAAATCTACTAAAATAATAGAACCAGATTACTTAATTTGAACAGTTTATTTACTTATAAAACCTCACATTATACTAAAATGATATATGGTAAAATATATTTTTAATCACAACAAAGAAATATAAATGATCCTATACAAATATTCTTCCTATATTATCATTAAATAAAAAATTTAAATGTATTGTCTGTAAACTGTAGAAACTAAAAAAAAATTGAAAAATATTTTCTATTTGACTAGTTCATATTATGATTTTATTATAATGGACTCAAAAATATATTAATATATGCAATAATAATTACTAACAAAGTAAAATATTTTAAAAATCATTATTTATTTATAATATCAAATAAGAAAAATAATTAATAATTTTTTATAGTTATAAAATATATAATATAAATAGTGTAGATCAAATATATTTTTTAAAAAATTATGATAATATCAAAAATATACATTTATGAAAAAAACAAATTATCTGCACAAAGGCTAGTAGTACTAACTTTATAATAAACGCGGGTTGCAAAAATTGCAAGCAATCGCCGGCCACCGAGTAAAAAAAACATTGACTTTGTCCGAGCTTCCTTCCCTCGAGAAGAAGATTAACATGTCGTGGCTGCGAACGGCTGTGAGTAAGGCGGTGGAGGTCAAGAACTATGCTGACTCCGTTGTTCAGCAGGCTGGTCAAGCCGTTGCTGAAGGAGCCAAATTGTTTCAAGACCGCATTGTAATAATTTTTCTCCACTTTCCTTTTTAGTTTTATTAGTCTGCTTTCGTTTTAAATTCAAAGTTTTGATTTTTGCTATTGAGGAATTTGTGAGTCCTGAGTTTTTGCTGTGAGACGGTGCACTCATTTGAACACTATGCTCCATAACTGTTCTATTGAGATAATGACATTAGATGCATGAATAAACCGGACTGTTACTTTGGCAGGGTGTTGGGGCCTATAAGAGTGTTAATCAGACGATTCAGAGATTGGAAGAAGCTGCAGTCTCATGCAGAGGTCATGAAAGGGGATTGTTGATTACCAGATGGTTAACTGTGCTTAAGGAGATTGATAGAGCTAGTGTCAAGGATAAAGATATGAGTTCTGAGGAACAACTTGCTTCTGATGAATCAAAGAGGCGTGAATGGGTATTGTTTTTGTACCCTTTTTTGCCATATTCTTGAAGATCATGAATATTACTTAAATATATGTGATTGTTATCCTTAGTGATTCAAGGTAATTTTTTTGGTTCAAAGGTTTGATTATAAATGATTTTCTTACTACTACTATTCTGCTTCTAGTTTCATATGCTGTGTTTATGACCCTTTTCCCCAATAGCAGATTCCTTTCCATGTGTAGGTTTTGTATTACGATCCAGATATAGGAGGTGAGCCACTAAACTTCCGTGATGTTTTTCTGCAAAGTCAAGCTCTGGAAGGCATCGTTCTGTCCATGGTATTCTTTTGCTACCTAAACTTCTTTTGGTGGCTCCTTGAATGAGTGATAACAAACGATCCCCGATTCTCTAATGTTTCCAAGAGTTTGGTTATACATATGGAAGTGTGGACTTGTAGTAGGATAGTGAAAGGCTTGAGATGCATCATCTTTGATTTGATTTCTCAGTGCTGAACGTAAAGACAATATATTGATTGGCTCAAAATAACCAAACTAGATTAAGTAGACTATTATATGTTGCGACGGGCTGTCATTTATCTTGTTACTCAAAATGTTTTAAATATTGTACTCTACTTACATTTTTGGGTTACCGTCCATGAGTGTTACTTCTAGGGTTGACTGTTCTATTACAGATTATTGAACCACCACATGATGAAGAAATTACTCTACTCCTGGAGATGTTTGGGTGAGTTGTCTGGCACTCCAAGTTGCATAGTCTAAATTTTTCTATTTTGGAGCTTGACACACTTTCGTTTATACCTAATGCAAATTTTTATAGAGCTTGACATTGTTTTCAGGCTTTGTCTGAATGGAGGAAAGGAAGTTCATGATGCCATAGTCAGCAATATGAAGGATCTTGCTACAGTCTTTTCAAGTTACAGGGATGAAGTTTTGGTATGCGCTTGAGCAATATTAATGTATGGGCGTTTGGATCGCCTCCTAACTTGTCCACTCTTCAACATTCAGGTCAAGCAGGACGAATTGCTTCAGTTTGCCCAAAATGCTATCACAGGGTTGAAGATTAATGCTGAAATGCTGAGGTGATCATAAATATATTGATGTGCTTCTTGCTCTCGTTTCTTTTAATGCATGAATGAATGATTCATAGATCCTTGCTCATAGTGCATCACTGTTGATTGAATTCTTGTTTTCAGGATTGATTCTGAAGCTTCTGATCTTAGAGAAAAACTCGAAAAGATGAACGTCTCTGAGTCTCCACAGGAGAGTGAAGACAAGGAAGTCAAAGAGGCTCCTTTAACAATAGAGGTGAGCGTTCAATATTCTCAAACCTCCCTTTCTCCCCCTAAGCTCATTTAGGTAGCTCCATGTGATTGACTTCTCGTCTTTGCAGGCTCTTAAACAAACACTTGCAAAGATTCGTCTTTGCTCCAGACTAGAAGGGCTTCTAATTAGAAAGAGACAACTAAGCAACGGTGATTCACCAGATATACATGCTCAGAAAGTATGTTTGTGGGCTTTATTATCCTCAAATCATTATAACTATACTATACAAGTTGACTGGTATTGTTGATACGAGTATTAAGAATATACATCTCATGACTTCTAGATGTTAGAGGAATATGTTAATCATGGAAGATAATGAATAATTTGTTCTGGAACCAGGTTGACAAGCTGAAGGTGTTATTGGAATCTTTAGCAAATTCAACTACCAAAGCCGAGAAACGAATATCAGAGAACAGGTAAAAGCTTATCCTTATATCTGCAAGTTAAGACTTACTTTTTGTTGTTGTTCGATTAATTTTGATTTTCATCAAAGCTTGCCTTGTTGTATTATATAATATGCCTTGAAGGAAAAACGCCATTAATAGATATACCAATTGTGCCTTCGCAGGCTGCAAAAAGAAGAGGCGCTTAAAGCTCGTGTGGTGAAAGCAAATGAAACCGGTGAAAAGGAAAAGGTTTTCTCTCTTCCTGTTTTATTTGTTCTTTTGGTTAGCCAATGCAAGAGAAAAACACTCATAGTGGCAGCATTCTTCGGTAGGTTCATCGGCTGCTGCCAGTATTTAGATTCTTTCTTATCATTTATTATGTACAGGAATTGGCTGCGGAAATTGCACAGCTTGTTAAACAAAGAGATGAGTTGGAAGCTGAACTTAAGAGGGTAATTTTGCTTTTTACTTATATGGTTTCCTGCTTTATGATATTGTGTACAGAACTTTTATTTTATTTGAGCATATGGTTATAGTGGTGTGGAAGGTACGAAAATGAATGTTCTTCTATGTAGGTTAACATATCATTAGCTGCTGCTCAAGCTCGGTTCCGTGATGCGACAGAAGAGAGGGATCAATTTAGTGAAGCCAACGATCAGATAATCGCTCACCTGAAAACAAAGGTAGCGTTTTAGCTCTCGTGGTCAATAAATTTCCACTTGAAATAATTTGGTTATGTTGATTCTGTATTCAGGAGGATGACCTGTCTAAATCAGTTGTAGCTTGTAAGAAAGAGTCAGAAGTCATCAAGACTTGGATAAGTTTCCTCGAGGATACATGGCTTCTTCAGTGCTCATATACCGAAAATAAGGATAAGCAGACTTTGTATTTTCTATCAAACTCTCAGATGTTTCTCTGCAATCTATTTTGCTTTGCTGCTCAACCACAGTGAATAATAATAGTGGATGCATGTCTCAGGGACGAATTGGAGAAGCATGAGGATTACTTCACGGATGTGGCTTTTAATATACTCTTTACGTACAAGGTAAGCTCTGTATTTTTATGGAAAATTTTAACTAGTAGTAGTTGGTAAATGGGACTGACACATAAATTAACATTGTGCAGAAGGAGGTGGCACCTTTAATAAGCCGTATAGAGAATTATGTGGAAAATCTGAAGAACCTTGGTCCTGGGTAAATTTCCTCCTATGGGGTTGATTGGTTTCTGGATAATACCTGTAGTTGGAGTTGCCTAGTGGTAAAAGTTTGCTCATGTGGTGGAGACAGGTCGGAGAAGGCACCAAATGCAGATGAGGGGGAGAGTCAGGTTTCAAGCCCAAGGAAGAGCCTTGAGCAGGAGTATCTAGACTATGAGACCAAGGTAAAAAGAATTGCCGCTATTGACTTTTTTCACTACTCTTCGTCTGTCATTGATCTGGTTTTTAATCAACAAACAGATCATTACCACCTTCAGCATTGTGGATAACATGAAAGAGCATTTCCAAGTCCTCCAAAGCAAACTGGAAAAGTGAGTAGTAAACATTACTCTCTGATCGGTGGAATTTTTTATTATTTGCCAAGTTTTTGAACTTTTACAATTATATACCAGGAAGGAAGACTTGCGAGTGAAAGAGCTATTTGATGACATGGAGAAAATGAGGCAGGAGTTTGAATCCATAGCTAGGCCAACGTTAGAGATAGAGACTCCATCACCTAAAAGCAGTGCTAGTGCTGCTGCATCACCCAAATCCCCTAATCCAATTAAATCTGTTACCCAAAATCCAGAGTTGAGCAATCCTACGGCTGGTTCCAGTCAGGAATCTAACCCTGAATCTGAACTAGCCGAGCTTGAACCTGAAATTGGTAAGGTGGCTCGTGATTACTCTGCAGATGAGGTTGATGGATGGGAGTTCGATGAACTTGAGAAAGAACTGCAGTAGTAATAGTAATAATAATAGTCTAGCAACTCAGAATAATAAGACCATCACACGCATGCTCATGTACACGCTTTTTTTCTCTTTACCTTCTTGTTGGGTCGTAACTCCTTTGTTTGCTAATCTGTATGGTAACTGCTTGTTGGTATGCCTCTACTTGGAACAAACCAAAGAACAAGCACTTGGAACAAAACCTTCACGTTTGGTCTTTTTAACTTTTTAATGGAATAGAAAGCTACCAAAAAATTATTCCTACTTTGTATTAAATTAATCAAATAAAATTTGTTTTGTTCTTATAATTTTCTCCCGCTTTATACTCAGAGACTGACTGTAATCCATGGCACTCATAATTAGAAGCTGCTCCTCAGTTTTACCTTTGGCTTGTTTCATCATCCAAAGGGTAGCATTCACTTCCATACAAGGCATTCAAAAGTAGACGCTGCAGCTCAGTAGGTAGTTTCTTCTGGGCATTCAGACTCTGCATTCATAATTAGACGCTGCTCTTTAGGACAAGGTTCATAAGAGAATTTCCTTATGTTAGCAAAACGATGATATCCTTCATCTATCAGCAATCGTGGCCATTCAGGGCTTTCTGGTTTATTGATGTCCTGAGTCGGCACTATGAAGACAATAACCGAATGTACATAGTAAAGCAACTCGAGGTAGTAGAGGTCAGCTTTGAATTGATCTGAGACTAGAACCAAATCTCGAGGACAACCACTGTTCAAAAACAAAATAATGTCATTTGCCATTCTAATACGTCTCGAGTCTTTATCCCCTGAAAAAAAATACACATAAAAGATCAATGGAAGTGAGAGTATAAGGAAAAAAAGAGTGAAAAATCACATCACCTCCTGGAAGAAAGTAGATTCTGGAATCCCACGTCTTGTCACCACTCAGTAAGACATCCCTCCAAGAACCTTTCTCATCATCATCAAGATAGGCCCAGATTGTAATCTTATCACTAAACTTCATTTCCACAAGAGCTGATGTGATAGAGTGGTAAATCTCATCAGGAGTGGAACCATAAGGGAATGGGCAATCCTCACCATCCCAGAAGACGGCTGTCATATCCCTTTTTACCGGTCTAATAGGCTCTGATCCATGCAAAAAAAAAAAGAGTTTAAATACTATTGAAAGATGAAATCTAAAACAAAACAATTTGTGATGATGGTCTTACCAAGAAAGTCTAAGATCTTGGAGACATCTTCTTCTTCTTCTTCTTCTTCTTCTTCAACAGAGGTGTAGGGGTAGGGGTAAGGGTAGGGGTAAGGGTAGAGGTCTTCTTCTTCAACATAAGAGGGATCTTCTTCAACATCTTCTTCGACAATGCTATCACTAGCACCTAAAACAAAATGTGCATAACCAAGCAGAGATTCTACACTAAAACTAAACTCTTCATCATCAGGCGGATCTATTAGGAGAACAGTGACACCCCTTGATCTCAAACACTTGAGAACTCTAACTAATTCCTTTTTTGGTTTTGCGATTACTGCAAAATTCGTACCTTGACAAGTCAATCCGAACTTAACCAAAGTACTAGTCATATCCATAGTAATCACTTTGTCAACATGAGCCAAAGTAGTCATGTACGTCTTTGTACATGAAGGTAAGTAGAATATTCGGGCATCGCTCAACTCTTTTTTAATGTCACACTCGAGATGCTTACAATGCACATTAACATCTTTAGGTCCATGAAAGCCAAATCGTTGAAGAGCTTCTTCGATATTTTTACGAATTGAACCAAGATCATCGATGCCAACAGGGATTGGATAGTCATCCATGTTCCATAAGACCGTTGTTTCGTTCCCTAAGAGTAAGAGACAGAGGACAAAGGCATCATAACTATGATCTTAAAATCTAACAAACAATTTTATCTAAGAGATTGAGAGAGAGAGATCTTACAAGAAGAAGAAAACTCGTCTTGGTCCATGGTTGGAGACTTTCACTCGCTAGGGTTTTGATGAGAGAGCCTTTGAACCCTTGGAGGAGACTATTTATATGCCGTGGCTCGCACGTTTTTTAACCCTTGGATCTCAAATAATTGCGTTGGCGTATTCTCAACCGTCAGATCTGTGCTTTTCTTTTTTCTTTTGGGAAATTCCAAATCCCTTGTCAAAAATATGAGATTTTTTTACGATATACCATAACCTCCATCATCTTATTATATAAAGCTTGGTTTTCCAAAGTTACTAATTAACACGATTGTGACATGTGGCAATTACATATTTCAGATTGTGACAAGTGTAATAATATCTTATAACTAAAAAGATAAGGAATTTTATCAAAAATTATTTATAAATATTATTTGATAGGAAATTTTCTTTTAATATTATGGCATGTGTTAAAATATCTTATGTTAAAAAATATATATACTAATATAATAAAACGAATTTGGGAAAAGTTTTAATAGTAATTTTACATTTTAAAATCCTAAACAAAAATAATTGCTAAATATTATTTGATAGAAATTTTCCTTTTGGTATTGTGACATGTGTTAAAATATATTGTGATAAAAAGTATATATACTAATATAATCAAACGAAAGTGGGTGAAGTAATTTAATTTAATTTAAACAAATAAAGATTTGTAGAGTAATTATTTCAAAAATTTGTAATGAATAAACAACTTTCTTATTTAAATACTTAGTTTTCTGTTAAAAAAAACATAAACCAAAAGAACTACTATTATTCACATCTTTTTTTTTTTGACATCATATACAATTATTCACACACATATATATATATATATATATATATAGGCTTTAGCTCTCTGAGGACTCATGTTTTGTCATATTTTGTCACCAAACATAAAAAAAAAAGAAACAAAAAAATTATTAGGTGAGTTTTTCTGCATGTTCTTTTCACATATTCGTGTGTTTTTTATTCTTAAAATTAAATTAATGTTGATTTTTCTTTTGAAATAATTATTATGCTCCTGTAGGTAAGTTATTGCCACAGTTATAGTATACCGTCATGACAAATTGACAAGTGTTTTGATCAAGATATATAAATGTGTAATTTGTATGTTAGCATTTTCTGAGACTAGGTAATGTTTGAATTATGATTTTGATTATACTACTGACTTTTAAAAAAATACTATTTAAAAAATTTGTACCATGTAAATAAAAGTATGTAGATGATAGCAAATGCATACATTTTTTGGAATTCTACAATGACAACAGAAACATTACCAAATGACAATAGAAATATTAGAATATGTTTGAATAAGAAAATAACATACAAAGTTAATATATTTACTAAATTAATAGCATAAAAATGTGTATTATGTTGCCATCAACTCAATTGACTTAATTCAACTTTTAAATTATTTAATTTCCTTCTAATTTACATATTTACTGGGGTTGAGATTCCCTTTAAATTTTTGGATTTGACTTTTTTCTGTGGCACTAAATAAAAAGTTGTTAATTAATGTATATATGTGATATAATTATTGAAACATAAATACAACGAAAACTTATGCGGAAGATAAATTTTTGTTCCTTAAAAATAAGTTCACAAAATATTTGTAAAATTCCTACAATTGCAATAAAATATTTTTTTTCTTTTTATATTTTTCATGAAATTAAAATATCATTCAAAACCCGTGCATCGCACGGGTCCATACCTAGTTCGTAATACAGTAGTCCTAAAATCTGCTTTTAGTTTATATGGTTTCCTGCTTCATGGTATTTTGTATAAACTCGTCATGTTGCTGAAAAGAAATAGAATCATTACATTGCAAATTGCAATATACATGGGCATTGGCTGGAGGGGTTTAAAGGATGAGATGGAACGTTCTAAAAGACAACTTGGAGTGCACTAAACTTAAGAATAATCTCAACAAGGTGTTGATCCTGATGATGTTTATTCTCAAGTTCCATATGAAAAAAGGCTTCTTATTTGTGTTGAGAATTGAACATCAGTTTAGTTTTTTAGCAGCCTCAAGTAGAGCTACATTCAAGTTCAAGTCAATTGATACAGATACGTTTCTTGACTTCCCTGAAAAACCACATCCCTGGCATAGAGAAAGAGATCATCAACCTACAGCTGTGGACTGAGGGCGTTGGTATACCTGAAGATGCATATGAACCAGTCTCAAACATTTACACAAGGATCATATCCTTGGCTTAAGAATTTAATCAAAGGAAAGATGCCAAGTGAGGATGAGGTTGCTGAGTAGAAGGGATAACAAGAATGGGAGCTCTACTTGGAGAACATTCCTAAATCATCTCAACCTTCTCATGTACACTTTTTTCACTACTTCTAACATAATATGAACCTGTTTGTTGCATTTGAGGTGAGAAAGAGATTCAACCAATGTGCATCAACAGTTCTTACTAGTTAGTCTTGGATTGAGTACAGCTATTATGCAAAAAAAAAAAAAAAAAAACAACATTTCAATAAAATAACAATTGCTTTTGCTTTGAGTCATAAACAAGAACGTTATCTAATTACGCATTACCACTCTCATCTTCAAGCTTCTTAACATAAGCCTTAAGCACCATAATAACCTCAACAGCCGGGGCTTGTAACGTCGAAACAAGATTAATCGCCGGACTTTGCAGAGCACCAAGCAACTTAGCATAAACCTCAGCACGAGTAGGCATAGTCTCAAGGGCCTTAAAATCATCAGGAGCATAAAACTTACCTTCAAAGACAGCACCAGCGAAGTCATTATCCTCTAACTTACGTTCCTTCTGGAAACTCCGGTAAGGTTTGATAGCAGAAGGGATTTCATCTGTCTGAACAAAGAGCCAAGCGTTCATACCCTTCATACAAGGCTTGAGAGCTTCCCATTTAGTGCCTTCAATAGCTTTGAAGACAAGAGTGTTCTTGGCGACGACGAGCTTTGTTGTGTCCGGGAGAGTTCTACGGAGGTCTTGGAACTGTTTGACGGTTAGGCCTTTGTAGTTTATGGCGGCGAGGAGGTGGCAGTTCTCGAGATGGGACTTGACGGTTTCGACGGTTTCTTCTTTTTTGGTACGAGAGACTGCGGATCTGATGGGTGGGAGACGAGGGTAGTTTGGGGATTTTGTGAGTTTGGGGGTTTGGGTTAGGGATCGGTTGTGGGAGAGAGGAGATAAGGAGGAAGTGAATGAGAGAAGAGCAACTTCCATTTTTTGTGCTCGCTCTGTGAAGATAAGAGTAGAACTGTAGAAGAACTGTGTCTGAGGTTGAGGAAGGAGAGATAGAATCACTGTGTCTCTCTCTCTTTAATCTATTTCAATTTTATTAATAAATGGATAAATAGAGTTGATTGGCGGAACTATTTAGAGAAATTTACATGTTAAGACACAATTTGACTTTATATTTACATTATAACACACATCATGCCTTTGACACACTTCTTTCATGTGTTTTGACTATTATACCCATGGAGTCACGGTTTCTCTTTCTCGTTATCTTCTTCTTTTCTTTTTGAATGAATCTCTCATTATCTTCTCTACTCGTTACTTTTGTTTAAATATCACAGACCACAAATCCCTAATCCTGAGCACAAATCCCTAATCCTCTGTCAATGAAATCCCTAATCACCCCACCGATGGAACCATTCTCTCACCAGTCGATGGAGTCTCTCTCTCTCTCGTTTAGCTCCTGCAAAGGATTAGAGTTTTCAGATCTGCATTTTTGTGTTTCAAAACGATTCAATACGATTCTCCAAAAGGGTTTTGTGCTCATGCGTGAACCCTAATTCTCCTTCTGTCATCTGAAGAAACGGAGAAGATGGTGGCGGTACGAGCGTCGTCAGAGTTGTCAGAAGTGGACGTATTATGTCGATGAGGAGCATGCTCTGGAAACTCGCCGTTGTCGTTTGTAAGGTCAAATCCGTCGCCCTCTAATCTCACCGTGTCTTGGTCCAGCTCGAGAAGTAATCAACATGGTGGTGGTAGTAGTAGTGGTGATGTTTTTTTTGCTGTGTATGAGGTAAAGTTTATTTCTTTTTTTATAGTGATGAGATTATGATTACAATTGAGTTTCATACTTACCTCTCTCTGTTTTATATGCAAATAGAGGTTTGGAAGATTATCTCTCACTGCTGCATCAGCTCTGTGTTCAGACATGAAATATGGAGTTCACTTTCAAGGTATTATTCTGTTCTATCATGTTCTTGATTAGCCCATGTTGTATCCAATAAATCCTGAAACCCAGGTTAGATTTATAATCAAGTTCGTAGCTCTCATGGTTGGTATAAAAGAAAAAAGTGGTCTTTTTTAATAATATATTGTAGAGGATGGGTAAATTACATGTTTGGCATCAAACAAAAAAAATGTCTCTTTCCCTTAGTATTCTATGTACTCTCTCTAAGAGAACTAGTTAAGGAGACAAGGCTATTTATGGTAGAACAACAAGCTAAGACTCTTGGTGTCTAGTGCAAGGTGGAGCTGCCATAAGTTTTATGACAAAAGATTTATGTTACTTGTGGAGACTATTTCTGTGGACTAGAAACATGCATGTTGGAACAATAAAAGGCAGTAGCAGAGATAGTTGCTGGTTGATTTTCAGGGTATCAATTTAGAAAACAAAATTTGAAGGTATCAACTTCATAAGTTTATATTCTTTGGTTAAATTATCATCTTTTAATTAAGTAATTCTCTTTTTGTTCATACACTTGTAAATCTTTGTTAATAAAAATTTCTCATCTTTTATATTGTTGTTCATGTTTTCTGTCCAGATTTTATTGTCCAGATCTTTTTATTCACAATTTTTTTATCCACATAACAGTTGTCCACAACATTATGTCGTAGTGAAGGCAGTGGTGTTTATGGAGAAGGTGGTGATGGAAACATGAAGCTGTATACTCGAGAGGAAGAGGTGGTGGTGGAACACGTGAGGTTGGTGGATACAGAGGTGAAAGACGTGACAGTGGATACATCGGTTGTGGATGTGGCTACTGGAGAGGAGGAGGTGGTTGTGGTTACAATGGAGGTGGAAGTAGAGTAGAAGATGTGAGGATTGGAGATACAGAAGTAGTGAAGATGGAGACCGTGTTAAGTGGCCGTGGATACCATAGTGGAAACTGTAGTATTTGTGAAAGAGATGATGATGAATAAAGAGGTAAAAAACGTGAGAATGAATCATTGGTTGTGGAGCTACCTACTGGAGAGAAGGTGGTGGTGGTGGAGGTGGGATGGAAGATGTGTGGATTGGAGGTGGATGGTAAGAAGGTGGATGGTAAGAAAGAAGTCATAAACGTGGTATTGATATATTGTAATTAGATTTAGGTTTGGGATTGTTACTATTTTAATTGGATTGTAACAATATTAGGAAACATAACTATATTATTCGAAAGACATAAACTTACTTTTCCAAATACAACTAAAGTCAAAATCATCATCTTTCTCCAACCAAGGTTAATATCGTAAACATAATGGAGAGAGAGAAGAGGAAAGTGTCCCACAAGCTGTATGTGTCTCTTATTGTAAAAAAAGACAACAATGTGTCTTACAATGTAAGTCACTCAACTATTTAACTACGTTTAGTTGGAAACGTTCGTCTTTCAGACAGAACATTTTCGGTCTGGTTATGAAGTTTTTTTTCTTTCTTATCTGGTCTTGTTATGGAGGTTTTTGGGTCTGGTCTGGTTTTTTTCTTATCTGGTTTGGTTATGAGGTATCTTTATGGTCTGGTCTGGTTATGGATTATTTTTGGTATAGTTATCAAGTATAGTAAATTACTTATTACTCCTTCCGTTTCAGAATGATTCATGTTTTAGAATTTTTTTTGTTTCTAAACGATTGCATTTTCAATGTAGATAATAGTAGCAAATTGTAAAATTCAAAGATATTAATTGTGTTTACTGAATTTTGATTGGTAAAAAAATATAGGAAATAATTAAACACGAAAAATTATATTTTTTTTTTGGACAACCCAAAAATTTTATATATATATTTTTAAATTTTTTACGTGTAAAGCTCTAGAATATACCTTATGTTGAAATAGAGGGAGTAGTAAATCTTCACCATCTATGCTTATAACACTTCTTGAAGTCTCAAAACCAGATTCATCGTTCAACTGAAATGAAAAAAAAAACCTTTCATTTGGCAAAATATGATGTGTATGCCTGTATGGTGTGGCTTCATTGTCTTTTCTATGGTTTTTTGTGTGTCTTGTGGATCTGAGTTAGTTAGCGTGTATCCCAATTAGGGATATTTGCTGTGGCTTCATTCACCATCTTCACAAGAGTTACCTGGATCACCACAACACACAAATTGCATTTAGGCAAAAGTTATTTTTACAGTTTGGCTTCTAATTCATATACACTTCTTGTCATTGATTAACCACAAGTGGCGTCTCTGAGAAACCACAACTCCTAAAGATATTGGAAACTACCTTAAAAAGACTTGTGCATATAAAATCTTGGAGATTGACAAACTACACATCAGACTTATAATAAGCATTTGCGTATGAAGTTGCTATATAGTCTCAATGGACATAATGCAAACACGTTGTTCCCTTATTAGCTATCGATGGACCTTACGGCAAGTATTTTTTTTTTTATATAGGATTACATTTGAGTATTAAGTATATAACATACCACACTTTCTGGAACACCGGGAGGCGGCATAGAGATGTTCCTTGGAGGAGGACCTCTCAGATGTAATCTCTTATCAAATCGCCACTCTCCTATTTTGCCATATGTCAGCTCACCCTCAGATGTACAAGGTTTAAACACATAGCAAATACATTGAAAATAATATCATTAACAGTAATCAGCAGATGGTTGATTCCTACCTGAAGCATAAGATCCCTCCGAAGCATGTGCCGCACCCCATGCAGAGCAGAGGCAATTGCATAACCATACCTCATCAAAACAGAAAACAAACTGTGTCATAAAACAATGAAAACTAATGGACCTAAGATAAAATGAATATTCAAGTGTTTGTTTAGAGTGCTGTTAACATTTCCAGAACCCATCCAAATGCCTTGTCAGTATCTGGATCGTGTTTCATCGTCAGTGAGGGATTCATCCATGTAGGAGCAATCATCTCAAGTAATTTCTGCATGTCAACATCAAGTATAATGCATAAAGCACATACGATATTGCTTATAGCACATAGAATCAAATCTCACCTTGCTTATGATAACAGGAGAATTGCCAATGGGATCTATATTTGTCACAGGTCCCATCTCAACAGGATAATACTTCCTAACAATGTTCTCGAACTTTTGAGGTGTGATATAGAAAAAAGGAAACGCTGCTGGAGATCCTTCAACAACAGCCAAATTAGGAATAGGGTTAACAAATATATGATCAGGCTCAGCCATTAGCACATAGCTGCTGCACCAACAACATTAAGATTTAGCAAAACAGTGTTTTTGTTTGTTGTGTAGGGAAAGAAGAGACATGACTTAACTCTTCCTTGATGGTTGCTCTTTCAAGCCATTGCACGAATGCCCACGGTCTATTCAAGACGACATAACCCTAATTAAGTACATTAAAACTATTAGATTAGCACAAAATAATGCGAGATTAAAAAAGAAAGTTTCTCTTTTTTTTCTTTTTGAAAAAGAAAGTTTCTCTTACCTGATCAAGACCTTGGGGAAGAGGATAAACGACAAATGTTGGTATCTCATCCACTAAGTTGTCCGGATTACCGGAATGCAAAATGCGAGTGAAGCCTCCAATGTCTGAACCAGGGAGAGCTTTCTTCTGTTTATACCAATAAAACATTATACGACACTGCCACTTATTGTATTGAGAATCTGCAGCTGTTACGGCGACATGAAAGGGATGTGAAAGTTTTGGCCTTTCTGTGAGGCAGAGGATCTAGAAGTGAAGTTACATCAGACTTAGATCTGTTGTGGACTATAAGGGTGAGAAGATTAAATGTCACAAGAATGAAGCCGGGAAGGCAAGAGAAAGAGAAGCAGAGTCTTAACAAGACTCTTAACTATTGATCCCGACAGCATCTGATTGCAGCTTTCAGTTTAAGCTATTAGCTATAAAGTATTACGTTACAAACACAATTTAAAACAAGAAAAAAAGATAAGATCAAATATTTAAAACCGGTTTAACTTAATAAAACAAAAAGTCGCAATCGTAACTTAGTTTCAAGGAGGAAGTCAAACTCCATCCCCATACAAAATTTATTCAATAAGAAAATTTCCCCTTGCCTCCTCTCTAGTTTTTTAATAGCAAAAGATTTCATCAACATCTTTGACCTTTTTTAAAAAAAGTCTGAAAAAAACTGCAAATAAATCGAGAAAAATAAAAATAAAGCCGAAGCTTCAACTGTTGGTAACTGGTGGTGATTAGTATGCTTAGCCGGATCCAGATCCGTACTTCTTTCCGAGAAGAAGTAACTGCAGCTTGTCGTAACCAGAGAGCACACCAGCACCTGCAATGGCACGGAGGATGTTGGCACCAGCTCCCTTGAACAGAGACTTGGGTCCTTCCTTCTTCAGGATCTGTTGGAATGCATCCATTGAGCTCTTGTACTTGACGGCTTCACCGGAGGTCATCATCATTCTTCTACGGACTGTGTCGATTGGGTATGATGCAAGACCAGCACCGTTGGTGATGAGCCATCCAAGGGCAAAACTAGCGAAGAAACTGTCCTGAAATTGCCCAAAAAGGAAAAACAGATAAACAACATTAGAAACAAACAAGACAGGATTTCGGTTTCTATAATTACAAATTTATGGACATATATAAACAAACCTGGAGGTCAGCAGGGAGAAGAGGCTTCAAAGAGTCGTACAGTCCAAAGTAGAGACCACGGTAGACAATGATACCAACACATGAGATGTTGAATCCACGGTATAGTCCAGCAATACCATCAGACTTGAGGGTCTTCTTGTAGACATCAACAAGACCATTGAACTGCCTTTCACCTCCTTTCTTGGCTGCCTTAGAGTCATTGGCAAGACGGGTACGTGCGTAGTCAAGAGAGTACACAAAGAGAAGGGAAGATGCACCAGCAGCACCTCCAGATCCCAAGTTACCAGCAAACCACTTCCAGTAACCATCCCTGTCCTTCTTGAAGTTGAAAAGCCTCTTGAAGTAATCTTTAAACGCAAAGTTCAAGGCCTATAAAAAGTAACCAAAACAGATCAATAACCAACGCATCATCCCGTAATAAAAAAAAAAGTGCAAAAATTAACAAACCTGAGTGGGGAAGTAACGGATAACATTAGCAGTGTTTCCTCTCCACAAAGACCCAAACCCTTCATCCTTAATAGTCCTGCCGAAACAGTCACCAATACCCTTGTAAGGCTCAGAGAGCCTACCAGCCTTAAGCATCTCATCCTGGTTCTGAATCAAAAGCTTAACACGCTCAATCGGAGCAGCAGCGGTCTTACTCACAGCGGCGGAAACACCTCCCATCAAGAAATCAATAGCAAAGCTAGTGAACCCTTTCTCCCCTGGAGCTTGCACAAACACAGGAGAAGTAGTAGTCGCCACAATCCTGGAAGTCGCCGCAAGAGGGTACTGAAACGCAGCGTTCGAGTAGTTTCCGTAAGCCGCACGCCTCTGGAAGCCAGATGTGTATCCATGAATATCCTGAGAAACACCGGAACGGATGATTTGGCTTGAAGCCTTCTGGAAAATCGTCGGGTGCTGAGTCTGTTCAACCATTTTTGACCTCTGCAAAAGTCAACAACCTCTCTCAGTGATCTATAATATTATAAACTACAGATATGATTAAACAAATATGAGATCTAACAACATATCAATCCAAAAACTAGGTCAAAATCATATTCATAAGCGTTCGTGAGGTCCGCGTAACAGATCCATACAATCTAAGCAACAGAGACGAATCATTTCGAGATCTACAAAAGCAGATCGAAGAAACACGATACAGATCTACTAAACCACGGATCTAGATTCAAACTTAATAACAGATCTTAAAACTTGAAGCTAAACCATTTCACCTTTTGTTGATATATGATAAAATCGATAGAATCCGATGAACAAAAGGGAGAAACAACGAGATATATAGATCTGAGAGGAATCTAAACTTACCAAAGGGAACCGATGGTAAAGAGAAGGTCAAGGAGGTGAGATTCTTCGCCCTTTCTTGTAGGGAGCTGAGCGAAGAAGAAGAAGGAATGTCTTTGTGTGGCGATAGAGGCGACTCTTCTCTTGGCCTTTTATTGCCTCCAGAAAATAGGGTCGCGAGTAGTGAGTGATAGGAAATGATCTCGTGTAACGCTCCCTAACGCACTTAGAGACTCCACATCCGTTAGATTAAAAGAATGAATACTGAACCGTTGATTATGATTACAAAAGGAAATAATACGTTTGTGGAAATGTATAAGACTCCTTTATTGACCTTAGATCTTGCCAGCTCATTTTCGCCGGGAACCTGGAATGTGATTGGCACTTGACGGATTCGCTAGTCAACTGTCTATACGATGTCGTTTAACCGTTTCTTTTTCTTTTAAAAACTTGCAATAGTAAAAAAATACCAGATAAAACCGAATAAACCGAACCGAACCGAACCGAACCGATACTTTCTTCAGCGTCACTTGATGGATTCGCTAGTCAACTGTCGTCTTTACGGTGTCGTTTAAGCGTTTCTTTGAATTTTTCTTTTAAAAACTTGCAATAGTAAAAAACCGGCTAAACCGAAGCGAACCGAAGCGAACCGATACTTTCTTCAGCGTCTGACTTCCCGAGAAGAAGACGAACCCTAACCGTTCGTTTACTTCTCCACTACCAAAAAAACGTACGGAGAATCGATGCAGCAGCAGCTACAGAATCACGCGACGATGCATCACCCGCCGATAATGCGTCATCCCTCAGCCTCTTCCACCAACATCAACCCCGACTACCACCATCCAAATCACTTCGACTGTAACTACCACTCCAACACTGCTTTTTGCTTTTTTCAATCAGCGATTCACTATAAGATCTCAACGTCTCCTTGATCCAATATTGCAGCACAGGTCGATAGTTTCGGGGCGAAACGAATGAGAAAACACACACAGAGAAAAGCTGTTGATTACACGAGCACCGTTGCGCGATATATTCAAGTAATGTACACTCATATATCAATCTTCTTGAGGTTAATTTTTAATCAATAAATGTTTTTTTGGTGTCAGGCACGAACGTGGCAGCGAGATTCGAGGGATGTGACCTCTTTGCAACCAACTCCAGCTGCTGCAGTTGATGTTAGATTTACCATTTTGATTTCTTGATTATGTTTTAATAGTGTTATAATATTTCATTTATTATATTTATATTAATGTTTTCAGATGCTTCCACCGGTTGCTTATTCAGATAATCCTTCTACAAGCTTTGCTGCTAAGTTTGTTCACTCGTCTCTAAACAAGAACCGTTGTTCTATCAACTGTGTGTTGGTATATATCCCTTTTAATTAATGCTTGCATTGTATTTTACTGTGTTAGCTTATTGCGATAGTTTCTGTTTGGGTGTTGTTGTATGTAGTGGACACCTTCAGGAAGGCGTCTTATCACGGGCTCCCAAAGTGGGGAGTTTACTCTTTGGAATGGGCAGTCTTTCAATTTTGAGATGATTCTTCAGGTTCGTTTTTTTTACAGATTTTGTATATTAATCTTTTCGGGACTCCTGTTTTGTTTCGTCTATAGTTGTTGTTTTTTGATTGACTGTTGAAATCTGTTGCTAATGTTAGGCACATGATCAACCTATAAGGTCGATGGTGTGGAGCCACAATGACATTTGGATGGTTTCTGGTGATGATGGAGGGACGATTAAGTATTTTCTCTCTCTCTTTCAAACCTTATTATCTGCCTTTTTTAGTGAGATGCTCAGAATCTATGAGTCGATTTAGTGTTTGCTAATGATCAGTTGTCTCTCTTTTTTTTTTCAGGTATTGGCAGAGCAATATGAACAACGTGAAGGCCAATAGAACTGCTCACAAGGAATCAGTTCGTGGTATAAGGTAAAAAAGTTCGATATGTTTTGTTTGCATTAGATGAATCTCTTCAAACTTTAACATCTGTGTGTCAAACAGTTTCTGTAAGACAGATTTGAAGTTCTGTTCGTGTTCTGATGATACAACTGTTAAAGTGTGGGATTTTGCCAAGTGCCAAGAAGAAATTTCATTAACCGGTAATGTTATTTGAACAGATTATACCGGCTATAGCAAACTTCTTACTCGATTGTCTTTTTTTATACTAATTTAGAGTGCATTCGAGATGTGTTTTAGCTGTAACTTCTTAGAATTTGACCCTTAGGCTACATAGAAAAAGGTGTAACTGAGATCGGTTTGGTATCATACCATGAAAAACGTACTTGGTTTTGGCGGCTCTAAATGGGTTCATAAGACACATTGTTTTATCCTGTTAGAAACATGCTTTCACTGTTTTTTCTTTCATTTTGTATGATTTCTGAGGATTATTAAAGTGACCAAAGGGTTTTTTATATTTTGAACTCAGGCAGGCCATGGTTGGGATGTCAAGTGCGTTGACTGGCACCCCACAAAATCCCTACTAGTTTCTGGTACATCTTCTGATTTTGAATAATGCAATCATATGGAAACAGTTGTATACTTTAGAGCTTCTCTCGTTTACTTATCATTGGTTATTAACGTATTTGATTTGCGTTGTCAGGTGGAAAAGATCAACTTATCAAAATCTGGGATACTAGAACTGCAAGAGAGCTTAGCTCACTGTAAGTGATACTAAACGTAATCTATATCCTATTAAAATTTTCAGAATTAAGCTTTGACGAATCTAATGGCTATTCTCACTTTTGCAGTCATGGTCACAAAAACATGGTGCTTAGTGTGAAGTGGAACCAAAATGGCAATTGGCTTTTAACAGCCTCGAAAGATCAAATTGTTAAGGTAAGGCTCATTTTCTTTGGGTGTATGGATTTGCAATTAAGATTATTTCCGTGCCTTTGTGGAAACATTTTGTATGACACCTATGCATGTAATCTGCAGCTGTATGATATTAGGATTATGAAGGAGCTTCAATCCTTTCGTGGGCACACAAAAGATGTAACATGTAAGCTGTCAAATTATGTAATTATCTTATCTTCATACATGTGAAAGCAGAGGCTATGTAAATAATTTTTCTGTACATTGGCTAGGATTAATGTATATGTTTTCAAAATATTGTTATTACCTATTCTTTTGTTAATATCACATGAAGGTTCTCAATTGCTTTCTTCGTCACTTCTTAGTTACAACTATTTCTTATCAAAAGTTGTCGAACTCTTTTAAAGCTTTGGCGTGGCATCCAATTCATGAAGATTACTTTGTCAGTGGGAGCGCAGACGGTTCAATTTGTCATTGGATTGTGGGGTAGGTTTTGTGTGACGCTATATGCTATTATATATATCCAGTCATGCTGCGGAAGCTCTAATCATTTACAAGGATTTGTCAAATCATGTTTCTTGTCTCTTTTTTATATCTGGTCATGACACTTCTACATGCTAGCATGTTCTTTCTTTAACGTATATGTCGTGGTTTTGTTTGAAGTTTGTCTAATTATGAACCTTTTCTTGATTTCAGGCATGAAAACCCGCAGATTGAAATCTCAAATGCTCATGATAACAGTGTTTGGGATCTTGCATGGCATCCTATTGGATATCTTCTTTGCAGGTAGTACGATAACCTGGTGCTAGATTTCTATATCAGTTTTATCTTATGATGACCTTTGGTTAGCACCAGATTATTAATTTTAATTACCCTAACATGTGCAGTGGTAGCAATGATCACACAACCAAGTTTTGGTCCAGAAACAGGCCTGCAGATAATCCTCGAGATGTCCTTACTATGCAGAACCAAGGTTTGATATCTATGTGTTTTTAGTAGGCATGTGCATAAATATTATGCCTTTTATCCTAATGAGTAAATAGTAAGGATGCTGTGATAGGCTTAAGTGGTTGGGTTCGTACTTGCAAAGCTATATTATTGCCAGAAACTGGTGTTAAGATTTGTTCTTTATTTATGGAAGAACTGAAGTTGTACTCTGCGTGTCTAATTTGTAACAGGCTATAATGAACAAGGTTTTAGCAATCGCCTGCCTGATAGTTTCCAACCATCTGAGGCATCGCCAACTCCTGGAGCATTTGTTCCTGGGCTGACCCGGAATGAAGGGACCATCCCAGGAATCGGAATAGCAATGCCATTTGATGCATCCTCTCAAGGGGAACATAATCAGCCTCTTCCAGGTGGCATGGCTCCTCCGCTGCCACCTGGTCCCCACCCATCGCTTATTGGAAGTAGCCAGCAGCAAGGGTATCAGCAACACCACCACCACCACCAAGGTCATCCCCAGCAAATCCCTCCAATGCCCAATATGCCTCATCTTCAGCGACCACCACCGTCTCATATGCCATTACGTCCTCATCATCCCCGGCCTATGCAAATACCTCCTCACATGCCACTTTCCTCAATGCCTAGGTCTCATCCGATGCCTGGTTCAATGGTGTGAATCTCAGATCTCTTGAAAATCGACCAAAAATTAAGCCTTTCTTTTGTGGCGACCCCATGAGTTGGATCCCTCTTTTTGTTTGAGTGCTATCTGTTTTCTAATACCACTCTTGAAGAGATGATGATATCGTCGCTTTTTGTTGAATCAGGGAATGCAAGGAGGCATGAACCCTCAGATTTCGCAAGGTCATTTTATGGGTGCTCCTTCGGGAGCATTTCCAGGACCACCAAGCAGTGGTGGACCCCCAATGTATCCTCAAGGACGTGGTTTCAACCGTCCACAGATGATTCCAGGGTACAACAACCCTTTCCAACAGGTCTCTCTCTCTACACACTCTTCTATTGTTCTTTAGTATAATCGTTACGGTTTCAAATAAGTGTATATAACAGATTGGCTAGTAGTTTCTAGCGGTATGATTAGATTTTGCTAAGGTGAATGAAAATCGCTGACTAATCCGTTCTCTTTAATTTTACTTTGTGTTGTAGCAGCAGCCGCCTTTACCTGCAGGCCCTCCACCAAACACCAATCAGCAACATCAGTAGACCACCGTTGTAACAGTACATATCATGTTTGTAGACTTGGCCAATTCTTACAAGTAGTTGTGTTTAAGACTATTCAACGTGTTGCTGTTGATGTTTTGTTCTTTTAGCTGAACAAGTTAATGTAGTGAAGCTTTAGTGACCAAACTGAGCATATCTTATTCCAGTTTAGTTTTTGTTAACAAACTTGAGGAAAACTACTTTTCTTTCCGAGTACTTTTTTTCTAACAAAAAAGACTGATGTTTGCGTTTTACTATTTTGTTTATTAAGCTAAATCAAGTATAATGTAAATTTCACATATAAGTCATCATTCTAAGTATAAGAAAGACAATAGAAATCATGTTCTAAATAAACGAAATAACGTAAAGTTACATGCTCTGTTTTTTATTTCCCCCTCAACAAAACTAATCCTGATTAGCAGGAGATGTTGCCTTGGAGGAATCTGGCCGTTTCTTCACAAAAAGCCTGCTAATATCTTCTGTGGCAACATTGCTCCTACAGATATCACACGTTATGCGGTCATCATAAAGTGTTTGAAACAAGATATTACATATACAGATAGGGAAAATACTTTCTCATGAAGATGCCCATAGTGTCAACAATTCTTAAACTTTCTAAAACGCATGATTATAACAACACTCAAAATAAAAGGTTATGAAACAAGCCAGATAACATGGACTAACCTTCCTTTGAGCTGAGGAGGAACAAGCACATTACCCAAAGTCTGTGGAATATTCTTGGAATGAGGCAAATCACCTCTTGGCACCTTGGAACGACGAGGAAGAGAAGAAGAAGATTTCCCATTGAAGTCACGTTTCCGCATTGCAGCTGCAACAACGGAAGCATGGTCACCACCACCACCACCGCCACTCACATGTGTAAGCGTTGGTGACTCCAGAAGAAGCAAAGCATCTGGTAGCTGAGGAAGTTCCTCACTTACTTCCTTCTCCTTCAAAGACCTCCTAACAAAACACACTACAAGTTAAAACCAACTTGGACTGTATTACCCAAAAATTGACAGAAAAAAAACAAAGCTTTTGAGCTTGATTGTGAATCAACCAAAAGTTATTCACTTTCGAGGGGAAACAAATACTCTCTGCTTAAAAATACAGATACACATACAAATACGTACGATTCTGGAAACTATATATACACAATTTAGGGCACCGGAACAGATTAATCATCTAAAAAAAAATCCAGACTTTGGGAAACTCTGAAACTCACTCACCGTGATTTCGGCTGAGAGGGTTTTTGTTGTGGCAGAGGTTCCTTGTGCTCCGCCGCCGCAGGTAAGATATCGTCGTCGGATGAAGAATCGTCGTAGTCTACCAGTGACATACCTTCCTCAATACGGTGTCGCGCGAATCTCGTTTGCTTCCTTTGTCAATGACAACCCACACTGCATATTCCGGCAAACAAAACTAAATGTTTTTTTTTTAAAGTCGGGCTTAGTAAGCCCAGTAAAATTAACGTGAGAAAGCCCAGTAAAGCCCAACTAACTCCTCTGAACCAGTCTCTTCTTCTCTATACTCTCACGACAGAACAGCTGATCTCGATTGTCTCTAGGGTTCTCCAAATCAGATAATCTGCAACAACAACAACAAAAAATGGCTTTCGCTACTCGTATCAGATCCGGGATCTCCTTCTTCAAGACCATCTCCGTCTCCTCTTCAACATCTTACCCTCGTGGAGGCTCTCTAATTCCTTCGGTAAATTCATTTTCAATAAATTGAAAACGAATGTCAAAAGTCCTTTTTTTTTAATTGTTATTGTTATAAATCGATTGGTACAAAAATCATTTGATACAGACCTGATAACAATGAGAGATTGGAGTTATCTCATCATCGCGTTTACAGAGAATGTTATCAGTTAAATCTAACTTAATTTATTTGTAACGCAGTTGAGAGATTATGCAACAGCTTCTGCTCAGAAAACCGGCAATGTTAAGGTACACACACACACTTACTATATACATCCATGTGGCTTTGATAGTTAGGTAGACATGAACTGAATTGATGGATTATGTATTAACTAACCCTGTAATTGTATTTGGATTTCTACTTACTGTTATTTTTAAATATTGTGTGTGTTCAGGTGCCTGTGGCTTTAGTTGGTGAATCTGGCAACTTTGCTTCGTGGCTGTACATTGCAGCTGTGAAAATGAACTCCTTGGAAAAGATTGAGTCTGATCTTTCTGAGCTGGTTGAGGCTATGAAGACAAGCCCTACTTTTTCACAGTTTACTAAAGATCCCTCTGTTCCTAGAGAGACTAGAATCGCTGCTATTGTCGATGTTTGTGATAAAGCCAAGTTCGCTGAACCCACCAAGAACTTCCTCTGTAATGTCGATTAAATGCATTGTTTATGATTTTTAGTGAGCATGTTTGTTGTGATTATGATCAAAAGTTGTTTGCTTTCTTTTTCCTAAACAGCTTTGTTAGCTGAGAATGGGAAGCTGAAGAACCTAGACGTGATTGTGAAAAAATTCATGCAGCTGACAACAGCTCACAGGGGAGACGTTAAGGTTTTGGTTACCACAGTCATGGTAAGATATTTAGTTTTACTAATGTTGTTTCTTTAAGAAACCGTAACAAGCAGGTTTTGAACAGCAAATGTTTTTCTCTTAACAAACAGCCACTTCCTCCTGCTGAGGAGAAAGAGCTTAAGGAGACACTTCAGGAGATAATCGGAGAAGGGAAGAAAGTAACTGTGGAACAAAAGGTCTGTAATGTGATGGAGCTTGTTATCGCATTCTTGTGATTACTTATTAATAACATGGATGGTAATGTGTGTTGGCAGATTGATCCGAGTATATATGGTGGGCTAATAGTAGAGTTTCAACAAAAGGTGTTGGACATGTCTATCAGGACAAGAGCGCAGCAGATGGAGAGGCTCCTCCGTGAACCTGTTGACTTCACCAACCTCTGAAAATTCCCCCTCAAGAAAAATGCTTTGTGATAATATGCTGCAACGTGCAACCAGTTGACAAATAAATATGACCCTCCTCCTGGGAAACAACATATAACTTACAACATATAACTTGTTCCGTTTTTTTTTTTGTTTTGAAAAATTCCTTGCGTTTTAACAACTGTTGTTTGCTTCAAAATAAGCTTTTGGAGATATCAATCAATCAGATTATCTTGTCCTTGTTTTCGTGTGTTAACATTAAATTGGTAACATAATGGTAATGAGTCACGAGGGATAAAACAAAACATAAGTGCATTAAGATGCCACGATGCTGCATAATATGATAAAAGTAACAAAACCAAGTTGATTGACGTTTTCTCGGACACTATATTTATAAAAGAGTCATCTTTTTTGGGCGTCGACCATTTCTAACCTTACCCATTGAGAGAAGAGAAGATGCTACGAGTTGCAGGGAGGAGGCTTGTGTCTCTTCAACAGAGATCTTCCACTGCAACCTCCTTCGTCCTTTCCCGAGATCATTCCATCTCCAAAGAAGGCGGCGATGGCAGAGACTCCACCAGATCTGTTCCCTCTGCAGATCTTTCATGTTTCAATTCTTACCACCGAAGCCTTCTTAGAGGTCTGCCCAAATCTACAACCTTTACTCTTTTCTATATTACTTTTTCTATATTAAAAGTCATTACTTCTTTTTGTTTGTATGAGTCCCGGAGATGATTTAGATTCAAGTTTTCTGTTTTGACTTCCATGATCTAAGACGGTTTATTAGAGTTCCTTTTGAGACTTCTTCAGGAAGTGGATGTTTTGAGTTGATTGATCGGATATGATTTGACCATTTCTGTTTGATGAGAAAAGCCTTCCTCCTTGTAATAACCTTGTGGTGCGTTATCCAATATCCATATAGTGCCATTCACGATAAAAAAAAAAAAAAAAGCTTCTTGATTTTCTGTCTTGTGTATGGAGATGGGTGGTTTGTTACATTTTTAGTAGCAGCTAAAAGACATGCTGAGTAACTTGCATCAGTATAGGAATCTGGAATTAGTATCTATCTTTTTTAAAACTAAAAGAGCTATCTTTCAGTCTCAGCTTTGGTAACTTCTCTTGTGTTCTAAGTATTTCTGTATTGCAGTTGCTCAGCATTTGATCATTTCTTGATTATTGACTTGATTGTAGTAGTTTAGCTTTCACTGAATTTGATATTATGGTAGAATTTTTTGGATGGAATCTGTTATACTATGCAGAATTCTTTTACCTCATGGGTTCCAACTTCCATTTTTATAATCTATGCTTCTCCTGAGAAGGTTGTATACTAAAATGTTAGCGGTAGTTCTTTCTTCAGTTTCATTTGCTGACCAGTTTATTGTTGTAGAACACTTGACCGATAAGTAAAAGCTTTTGCCTTGATTGTGAAATATATTTTAATGTTTTTCATGCTATCTTCAGGTTTCTCTTCACATGTCATTACCCAAGGAAATGAGATAGGTTTTGCTTCGGAAGTCCCAGCCACCGTCGAGGCTGTCAAGACACCTAACTCAAAGATTGTCTATGATAATCATAACCATGAGCGTTACCCACCTGGTGATCCCAGCAAACGTGCGTTCGCCTATTTCGTCTTGTCTGGTGGGAGGTTTGTGTACGCCTCTGTTCTCCGTCTTCTTGTTTTGAAGCTCATTGTCAGTATGTCTGCGAGTAAAGATGTCCTTGCCCTTGCATCCCTCGAGGTTGACCTTGGAAGCATCGAACCAGGAACCACTGTGACCGTGAAGTGGCGTGGAAAGCCTGTGTTCATCAGGAGAAGGACAGAAGACGACATCAAGCTGGCTAACAGTGTTGATCTTGCATCTCTGAGGGATCCGCAAGAAGACGCAGTTAGAGTCAAGAATCCAGAGTGGTTAGTGGTGGTTGGAGTCTGCACTCACTTGGGATGTATCCCTTTGCCTAATGCTGGTGATTACGGGGGTTGGTTTTGCCCATGTCACGGATCACATTATGATATATCTGGAAGGATTAGGAAAGGTCCTGCACCGTACAACTTGGAAGTACCAACCTACAGCTTCTTGGAAGAGAATAAGTTACTCATTGGTTGATGAATAAAGGCACAGCAGACAGTGTCTGTGTCTCAAAGATCCTCTCATATGTTTTTTTTTGTTTTTCTTTTATATATACTTTCCGGCTACATATTAAGCGTGCGAGTTCGCTTTCCTCACACTTTGGTCTTCTCAGCAAGTAAAAGATTGTTTTGGTTTTGCTGAATAATACAAACTTGTCATTGTATGACTTATCATTCGGTGAAAAACTCTCTTCATAGTGTTTGTGTTTATTGTTTGAAAACAATTTTGAGTAGTTTAAATGGAATTTTTTTTTGCCTGCCAAATATTCTTCATTTCAATTGAGTGTCTTCAATATTTTTGTTACTTTTTCTTTTGAAATAATAAAACTCTAATACAGAGATGAAATTCACTTCTCTACTATAAATTTCATTCATCTCTTATTTTAAATGTATATAATATTTTCTTTAAAGTATAAAAATAGCAAATTTTATTTTAAATTGAAAATAGAAGTGAACTGGAGTGATTCTTCATCTATAACAGAGACACATACAAAAATGTGTTGGAGATATTTTAGTTATTTTATTTACAAAGAAGATTGCATGAAAGTAAAAACTCTATAAATTAACAATATTGAGATTATAGTATTTTATTAAATTATAGAATTATTTTACGAAAAATATTTTTTAGATTTTTAAATATATTTGTTTAATCTGAATTTGGCATATAAAGGTTGAAGAGAAGAATTGGATGTTGAGTTATTTGAAAGATGTTAGTTAATTGATCAAATGTGATTACAAGAAAAAAGACTAAGAAATCATAAAGTGTGATATGTTAAGCCAAAACAATAACAAATGAAAATCCTAAATCTTGTGTCGAATTGCGTGTGTCTGTGAATGCTTCTCTAATTATATAGGTCTTCTATTTTTATAACTGGGTTATTTCCTTCTTCTTTTTTTTGGTCAAGTCTGGCATATTAACCATCTTCTGATCAATTTCACAATTTTATCGATGAATGCAATCTATCTCCAACAATATATTTTTTAAAAATAAAGAAAATAGTTAATTTGTATATTAGTTAAATTTTACCTTTATACTGTTAATCTTATATTACTTAGTGTATATAATATTTGTATCATATGATTATATGAACATTACATATAACTTTACTAAATATTATCAAAATAGTTGAAGTATTAAAGAAAATAGTTATATATATTCCATTTAAAATATAAAACAAAAATACCTTTTTGTAGTCATGTAGAATTTTTTAAAAATATTATTATTTTCTCGATTTGTAGCATATTTTAAATCGATCTATTATATATCGTTTTTATTAATTTATCAAAATTATAATGTATGAACAAAATTTTTAATAAGCTATTGTTTAGAAATTGAAACGGATTTACTATATATATATTTATCTATTTATTTATGTAGTATTTTTGTTTTATTTATGTCTGGTTAAATATAAATTCAAGAAAATAATTATATTTGTAAACCAACAAAGACCAAGCTGAAAAGAAAAGAAAATAATTCCGTGAGGATAAATAAATAAATATATTAACAGGAAAAAATTGAAGGTGTGACCTTTTCTTAAGTGGAAGACTAATTTCACGGGGACTCTCTTCATCTCTCTGTTGCATCGGCCGTCCCCCCTAACCTTTAGGACAACTTTATCGAAACCCTAGATTCGATTCCTCCGTTAACCCATTGAGCAAGAGAAGATGCTCCGAGTAGCAGGAAGGAGGCTCTTTTCTCTTTCGCAGAGATCTACGAACGCTACCTCCTTCGCGCTTTCCCGAGTCCATGGCGACTCCTCCTCCTCTTCACCTCCCAGATCTGTCCCCTCTTCCGATCTCTCACCTTTCGATTCTTACCACCGGAGCCTCATAAGAGGTCTGCTGATCGATCTACACAACCCTTTTCTCTGGATTGATTATCATTTTTCATTTCATGTCTTGATTGAACTTTATTTAAACAAAAAAAAATCATACCTTTTTTGTTTGTTTGTATGTGTCCCAGAATGATTAAGATTCCTAGTGATGTGTACGTGTTAGGGTTTGGTTTCCATGAATCTAGGATGGTGTATTAGAGCTTGATTGATTGTTTCCTTCGTTCGTGCTGCAAAGAAACGAACTTTTGATTTGATTGACGAGTTCTTGAGATGATTCTTTGTTTGATGGGAGAAGCTTCCCCAATAGGTCTCCTTTTGTTACTCAAAGTGTGAATTGGCTTTATTGGTCTCTAAAGTTTTGTTACTCAAAGTGTGAATTGGCTTTATTGGTCTCTAAAGTTTTGATCTTTGTGTATCCTTTTGTTTCTTTATTATTAGGGAGATGGATGTTTTAATGACATACTTGGTTTAAGGTATTAATAGCAGTTAATAGGGCATGCTTAGGAGGAACTTGGTCTCTAAAGTTTTGTTCTTTGTGTATCCTTTTGTTTCTTCATTTCATTATTAGAGGTTTTAGTAACATACTTGGTTTTGGGGTATCATCTATAGCAGTTGCTGAGGAACTTTCATCATTGTTTTTTCTATTTTTTAACCAATAGAAGCTATCTTTACATTTTTAGCTTGGGAGTTTTATTGTGTCATATACAGCTGCTAATTGTTGAATTAGAGTAGTTTAGTTTTTACTGAATTCGATATTTTTGTAGAGTATTTGTCTCAATTAATTCTCTCATGTTCTTGCATTATTCTTATACGGCATGGATTCTGTTTTTATCTACTTGTTAATGGCCACATCGTGATTGTGGCAGACTAAATAAGGTCTGTTTTTGATGTGTAATATATTAACCTTTCATGCTTTCTTTTTCCAGGTTTCTCTTCTCAGGTTCTTACTCAAGGAAACGAGGTAGGTTTTGGTTCGGAACCTGCCACCGTGGAGGCTGTCAAGACTCCTAACTCAAAGATTGTTTACGATAACCACAACCATGAGCGTTACCCACCTGGTGATCCCAGCAAACGTGCGTTCGCCTATTTCGTCTTGTCAGGTGGGAGGTTTGTGTACGCCTCTGTTCTCCGACTTCTTGTCCTGAAGCTCATTGTCAGCATGTCCGCAAGTAAAGATGTCCTTGCCCTTGCATCCCTTGAGGTTGACCTTGGTAGCATCGAACCAGGTACCACTGTTACAGTGAAGTGGCGTGGAAAGCCTGTCTTCATCAGGAGAAGAACAGAAGATGACATCAAGTTGGCAAACAGTGTGGATCTTGCATCTCTGAGAGACCCACAAGAAGATGCTGTCAGGGTCAAGAATCCGGAATGGTTAGTGGTTGTTGGAGTCTGCACTCATTTGGGATGCATCCCTTTGCCTAATGCTGGTGATTACGGGGGTTGGTTTTGCCCGTGTCACGGATCACATTACGATATCTCTGGTAGGATCAGGAAAGGTCCTGCACCGTACAACTTGGAGGTACCAACTTACAGCTTCTTGGAAGAGAATAAGTTACTCATTGGTTGATGATGAATCAAAAGCACAACAGTCAGCGAACCTCAAATGTTTGTTTTCTTCTATTTTTTTCTTCTATATTCCGGCAACCTAAAGCAAGATTGTCTTGTTTTTGCTGAATAATTATTGAACGTGTACTCGAGCTATGTTTTTCCGATGATGATGAAAGACTATTCATAGTCTGTGTTAATTGTTTATCACGACTAAATTTTTCTTATGTATGAGACTGATTCATTTCTATCTCAAATTTGTAGTTGTCTACAAAAGCTATGAGCTCTTGCAAACTGACAACAGCCACTACGTATTACAAGCTTAAAGTAATAACTAGTTCCAAAATAAAAGTAAATAAAAATAACAATTTGGTCAAAAGAGGAGAAAGGTTAATCTTCATTTATTACAGCGCAAACACTTGGTCTTAGTTAGAGACTTTAGTTTTGTATTTTTAAAGAGGCCACGAAGTGTCTACACAAGTTGAGAGTCTTTCAGTATCACTTGGAATGGCGTCGATGATATCAGCCTTTAGTTACCTCCCTACCTCTCTAGCCCTCACCGGAGCTTCTTCCACCAACGTACGACGCCGTTTCTCTCTCACCCTTTCTTCTTCTTTTTTCTTCCTTCACTAACTGAAACCTCTCGTTTTCTCAATTTGATTATCAGAGATGCAGGACGACCGTGTCTGCTCCTCGGTTATTATCCGACCAAACAGATGACTTGTCTCCTCTTCGCTCTTCTGGTTAGCTTTTAAAGTTTTGATTTTTTTCCTTTCTCTCTGTGTGTGTGGACACATTATATAGTGAATTGTGAAGTATGTAGTTATTTTGAAAGCAGGTGGAGAGTTTGATCGCAGAAAATTGTTGGTTTCTTCTGTTGGTTTGTTGATTGGAGCATTGACATTCAATGGAGAGATTGCAGAAGCTTCCCAGTTCGCTGACAGTAAGAGTTCTTTTTTTTTTAATTTGAGAATAGAAAAAGTTTACATCTTTCAGTAAAATGTCAAGACTTTGGAGTAACTAGTTCGGTTATACCCTGTTGGAGAAAAAAAAAATACAATAAGCTATTGAAATATTCTAACTTAGATTGCTCTTTGATCTTACTTTAGTTTTTGGTTGTGAGAGAGATGTTTTCTTTAGGGTGAAATGGATTTATCCCTGCTTACTGATTAATTTTCTTTTTGCAGTGCCAGCGATTAGAGGCAAAGATTACGGCAAAACGAAAATGAAGTATCCAGATTATACAGAAACACCTTCTGGTCTTCAGTATAAGGTCACTCCTTTATTAGTGCCACCTTCTATACTTTTAATGGTGATATGTTCATCTCTTTAATCTGGAGATATTTTGATATGAGTGCAGGATTTGCGAGTAGGAACTGGGCCTATACCAAAGAAGGGAGAAAAAGTTGTGGTAAGGAGGAGATTTTATTATGAATATCTATTCTATGGGTTATAATCCTTCAAGTCTGCTATGTATGTAGAATTTGGACTTCATTTTATAATGTTTCAAAGACCATAACTTGTATGTGTATGTCAGGTTGACTGGGATGGTTACACAATAGGTTACTATGGCCGTATATTCGAAGCACGCAATAAAACAAAAGGAGGCTCGTTTGAAGTATGAAAACGTTTTGGCTCTTGTTGTTACTTCATTAGAAACAGTGATTCAGTCCTTAATAAAAGTGCTCTTTCTGTGAATCTGTAGGGGGATGAAAAGGAGTTTTTCAAATTTACCTTGGGATCTAATGAGGTGTGTGCAACTTCTACCTTCTTCTAGTTGATATTTGGACTCTATTGCTGAGGGTATGAATAATTTCTTTCTCGATGCTGCATGGCTTTGGTGTTCCAGGTGATACCTGCTTTTGAGGAGGCCGTGTCAGGGATGGCTCTTGGTGGTATCAGAAGGTTCCACATCTTTTCTAAATATCTCTCAATCTACACATCCTTCCATATGTTTTTCCATTCATATAGTAGACAGAAAAACTAACCTCCTCCTTGGATGAATTGTAGAAGAAGAGATCTGAGTCTCACATACATTGGTTATGGTTCAATGAATCAGTGTAATAATTAGCTTGGTATTGCAGGTTGGTTGTACCTCCAGAGCTAGGATACCCTGAAAATGACTACAACAAGAGTGGGCCGAGACCGACAACTTTCTCCGTAAGTCTTCTATTAGTTTGTGTATGTATGTATGTATGAGAAAGGCTTCATTTATAATGTTTTCCTTGATGTTGGCGCGCAGGGACAGCGTGCATTAGATTTTGTGCTCAGGAACCAAGGTCTCATAGACAAGACACTTCTCTTTGATGTTGAACTCCTCAAAATCGTACCAAATTGATAAAAACATGGACCATTTACTCCTACACTGACGTATATATTTTTATTTTGTCATGTGTATACTTCAACAACACAATTGTATACATTGAGCTCAGTTGATATATGCATATAATGTTAAAAGTCTCATTTATAAGCTTCAAGACCTTGTAATGAGTATATACACGTTCAAAATTAATTTACTAAAGAGACGAGTCTACCTAATGTCCTATTTGAGTACTTGCATAGGGGTGTGGTATGAATTGGTTTCAATAATCTCTATCTAATTAAATATGAACACAAACCAGTGTTAGCTTCTGTTGTTTGACTTTATTGCATAGCTGCAAATGTCTGTTCAGTGTCAGAGTCATCATCAATGTAGACTGAATTAAAAAAAAAAAAAAACAAGATGCAGGGACGCATTGTACAAAAGCCCTAGAACCAAATTTATTGTCTTCCAATTTACAAACCAAGCAATGATTTTAATTTCACTTCTATATATGTATGTATCAAGAAACATGATCTCTCTCTTGAACGTTTAAAACTGTCAACAATAGTATGGGACTCCCCCCCACGTGCAGTTAATGCATCTACTCCTCTGTTACCATTCACCAGCTAGCTCCGTCTATTTAATTCCCATCTTTCAATTCTTAAGCTACTCTGCATTTATACATTTCTCTAACACCAATCCTCAAACGTCACTTTCTTCTTGCGGATTGTGTTTTGGTTATTATATCAATTATTCTCTTAGCTCTCTCTCTCTCTCTCTTGCTTTTATTTCATCACTGTTAAGAGACTCCTAGTTCCATGGTTTTATGAGAACAGATCCAACATGGTTGTATCAGAGATTAAATCCCCGTTGACGCCTGGAGGTTGTTCCAGCTCTTCAGTGCATAGGAAGGAGTTGAGTGTGTTCTTCTTGGAATCAGATAACAGACGTCTTGCTCTTGGCCGTGGCTATACTGGAGGTACCACTCCTGTTAACATCCATGGCAAACCCATCGCCAATCTTTCCAAAACCGGTGGTTGGATCGCAGCTCTCTTCATTTTTGGTAACTTTTGTATATCTTTTTTGTTGAATACAAGTTCAACATGAAGCTTTACGTTTTGGTTTGGTTGCAATCTTAGGAAATGAAATGGCAGAGAGAATGGCTTACTTCGGACTATCTGTGAACATGGTGGCTTTCATGTTTTACGTGATGCATAGACCTTTTGAGAGTTCTTCAAACGCAGTCAATAACTTCCTTGGCATCTCTCAGGCCTCCTCTGTTCTTGGAGGTTTCTTGGCTGACGCATACTTGGGTCGTTACTGGACTATTGCCATTTTCACTACCATGTATCTTGTGGTAAGCACTAGTTCAACGTATTAGAGTGATTTGGATGCAAATGCTAAAATATGATCCTAATATCTGATTTATTTTGACCTGTGAGAAGGGGTTGATAGGAATAACACTAGGGGCAAGTTTGAAGATGTTCGTACCAGACCAGAGCAACTGTGACCAGTTATCATTGCTCTTAGGAAACTGCCAACCAGCCAAATCTTGGCAAATGCTTTACCTCTACACGGTTCTCTACATAACCGGATTCGGTGCTGCTGGTATAAGGCCATGTGTTTCCTCATTTGGTGCAGACCAGTTTGATGAGAAGAGCAAAGACTATAAGACACATTTAGACCGATTCTTCAACTTCTTCTATTTGTCTGTCACTTTAGGCGCAATCATTGCCTTCACTTTGGTAGTGTATGTTCAGATGGAACATGGTTGGGGTATGGCTTTTGGCACATTGGCCATAGCTATGGCCATTTCTAATGCTTTGTTTTTTGCTGGCACACCGCTTTATCGGCATAGGTTGCCTGGTGGTAGTCCCTTGACAAGGGTTGCTCAGGTACTAGTTGCTGCTTTTCGCAAACGACGTGCAGCTTTTACAAGCAGCGAGTTCATCGGTCTCTACGAGGTTCCAGGCTTGAAGTCTGCTATTAATGGCAGTCGCAAAATCCCTCATACAGAAGATTTCAGGTAAGTTGCATCTTTGGTTATGGTTTTGGATTGGTCTCACATGTTTGATTTGTGGTTGCAGATGGCTAGACAAGGCGGCACTTCAGCTGAAAGAAGATGGACTAGAGCCGTCTCCGTGGAAGCTATGTACAGTAACACAAGTGGAGGAAGTGAAGATTTTGATAAGACTGATTCCAATACCAGCATGTACTGTGATGCTGAGTCTTGTCCTCACAGAGTATCTAACACTCTCAGTGCAACAAGCTTATACACTCAACACACACATTCAACACCTCAAGCTTCCGGTGACATGCATGCCTGTCTTTCCAGGACTCAGCATTTTCCTCATTCTCTCCCTTTATTACTCTGTCTTCGTCCCTATCACCAGAAGAATCACTGGCAACCCCCATGGCGCTTCCCAGCTTCAAAGGGTGAATATTACTCAGTGCTCAACTTTTCCATATCTAATCATATCATTCATCACTTGCATAATGGTTTTTGTAATAGGTGGGGATAGGGCTAGCAGTTTCAATCATATCAGTAGCTTGGGCTGGACTGTTTGAGAACTACAGGAGACATTACGCGATACAACATGATTTCGAGTTCAACTTTTTGACCCAAATGCCTGATCTAACAGCATACTGGTTGTTAATCCAGTACTGTCTCATCGGTATAGCAGAGGTTTTCTGCATCGTTGGACTACTAGAGTTCCTTTACGAGGAAGCACCTGATGCTATGAAGAGTATTGGTTCAGCTTACGCTGCGCTAGCTGGGGGGTTAGGGTGTTTTGCAGCCACCATCTTGAACAACATAGTGAAGGCAGCGACTAGAAACTCAGATGGGAACTCGTGGTTATCGCAGAACATTAACACTGGGAGATTCGATTATTTGTACTGGCTGCTCACGCTTCTGAGCCTTTTGAACTTCTGTGTTTTCCTTTGGTCAGCTCATAGGTACAAGTACAGAGCTGTTGAAACTGAGGAAGACAAGAGCAGAGCATCTTTTTAAGGACACGAAAGTGTATGTTCTGTTCTACTTATATATTAACAACATAAACTGTATCTTCCTAAGATTCGTTTGTTTGTACGAAAACCATAAGAGTAAGGTCCTGTAAACGTATCTCTGCAATTTTCAATTCATCAACCGAGAAACAAAAAGGTCAAGAAGTAAATGAAACATTGTTACACCAAAAAAAGGCTGAGACATACATACTAATCCTCCTACGTCTGTCTAAATATACCTCAGCCCTTTAATGTATTGTTGCCTAGATATCACATACTGAGCCAAAGAGTAAACAATGCCTAAAACTCCAAGAAGCCGAACCTGAAACACGTCTGTTATCACCACGGCTGCAAAGCTAAGTGGCAGCGTAAGCATCGGCGACGCGTCTGACTGTTTACTGGTGTAACTCCACACGTACCTGTTGAATATAATGTGACCTGGTGCTGTGAGTATTAGGAGAGCTAGGTTCTTCACCGCAAAGAACCATTCACGGCCTCCGATTTCTATTCCCCAACCTGTGTTTCCACCGAACCAAACTTCTTCCCATACAGAGTAGAGAGAGGATAAAGCCAAGTATGTTGATATGGCTAGTACAACCGGGAAGTATCTCTGTTTATCGCCGAACCCAGATAAGAGATCAGAGTCTTGGTTCAGGAGAAGTAAGATAGGAGCCAGGAAGAAGATCGCATGGCTTGAGCCGCCTGAGAGGTGGATGTTAAGAATTAAGCATATGGCAAAGCACACAATGGTGGCAACGTTACCAACCGCTGGCATCCAGGCCGCTCCATCTTCTGACATTTTCTCTATTACAAAACTTTGGATCGAGGTGGCCCGGCGTTGCTGCATCAACCTCATTCGTGTTGGGAACATCCCCCTAGCGCCTCCTTGGGTTTGTGACTGACCAGTCCTCTCAGATACTTTCTCACGCAAAAGCGAAGTGAGCTCAAACTTAATCAAGAGAGCTATGAGCATGAATATCGCTGCATAGAGACCTAGAAGAGATGTTCTTGCACCTTCAATCGCCAACATTGTTGTGACTTTCTTATCCTCTTCCCCTGCATCCCAACCCCAGGCAACATTATCACTGAGAGTTTTAATTCTGACCTGCCCTTCTAACAAATATGTCACTGGAAATAGAGCCACGAGAAGAGCAAACACCCAGGGAAGGAGCTTTGTGCTTGAAGCAGATGGAAAATGGGTGAAGATGACAAAAACTGAGGCACACACCATTGTTATAATAATCAGAACATGTAGAACGGCAGCTTGTAGAAAGAACTCTGCAGATACGTAAACACCAAGAGCTAAACCCATGACGATGGAGTAAAATGCTCTCAACTCTACTACGTATTTGATTGGGATTAGAGATGTGGCAGCAGCAAGAATCAATAGGAGTGACACAATTAACAACCAAGACGGCCAAGTTGGTTTGGATGCCATGAATCCGTAGATGGAAATGTCATCAGCTGACTGACGAGCGGCCTTGATCATTTCTGAATGATAACTCCACGTCATAGGCATCGGTGGCTGCATCAGAATAAACATGCATCCAGTTGCCACTACCAATACCAAGCTTCTCTTAGCTGACTGCAAAAAAAAGAATCATATCAGTAAAAAGCAACAACTGAACCTCTTTTTAGTAGTTAAACTCCTAGAATCAAGACCTTAATTCCAGCACCACTACATCTAGATAATCAGACAGAAAATACAACAAACGAAACAAGATAATAGTAAACAGTAAACAGACATACCAGGACATGGGAAAAGTGGAGAGCAACAATTGGTATACAGGCCAGACCAATTAAAACGATGCAGAAACCAAGAAGCAAGCCATCAGATGGCGGTCTTCCATTCCACCACTGTAGAGCATCGAATATCGTTTCCCGGCAAAACCAAACAGAGATAGCAACCACTGCGGCATGAGCATAACCTTGCCATGGTTTCATTTTAGAGGCAGATTTCGACTTCTCCCTGCACATTCCATCAATAGAAATAAAATCAATGTTAAAGTTCAAGATGAGACCATATTTATAAAACTTAGAATGTCTTAGTACATACTTGTAAAGCAGTAAGGGAGGGGTAACGGCCAGTAATAGAGCTGCAGACACCCATACAATTGATTTTGACGATAGGAAGAGCATAGCCAACTTTGCTGAATACAAACACGTCAAGATCCAGACCGCCTTAGAACCAATTCGTCGATCAGCAAATAGTCTCCTTACAACAGCCAATCCAATTAGCGTCGTCATGATAACCATGTAACTAGGGTACATCACATCGTCTTCCATTCCATAATAGTATATGCTTGAGTAATTGAAAAAACGGTCCTCAATGTAACACAGCAATAATGCGTGGGCCACCATACCAGCTTCAGTCAAGAAGTGAAATTTTGAAGGGAGAAGAACAAGACCAGGGATGACCATGGCTATGATAATGTTAGCCACTATAAGCTTACAGAATGACTTGAGGAACATGCCGGCTAACCATATGTTTAAATCCCAGTAATTATGCATTACGAACCATATAACCATTAAGCTTCCAAGAGCAACGAATGCAAAGTAAGAAGGCACACTTTTCTTGGTAAAAAAACGAGCAAAACAAAGCCCAGCAACAGCAGGAAGCGGAATGAACTGCAATATAAAAGAATGAAATTTCATTGTTACTATAGTGGTGCTCATATATCAAAAACAGGAGTTCACAAATGAAGCAAATAATATAATTCAACTTTCAAAAAAGAAACTTCATAGATGAACAAATGCTTTACTTGGAACCGGTAAAACAGTAAAAACAATTATATCAACTGAGCTGCAGCAAGTTCCACAAGACTAATATGATGATGTAAGGTGCTACTACATGCATGTTTGAACTTTCTCATATAATTACGAAACTAAACTCACTGGATACCTACTCGTTTAATCGCAACCAAGTAAACAGAAAGCTGTTTCAAACACTCACCAAAAGAGGAAACCCTACAACAATAGCTCCCGCAGAACTCACAACCACAGCCAAACCAGTAAAAACAGCAGAACTAAAACCACTCGAGACCATCCCAAGAACCGAAGCACCAGCACCAGCAGCACCACCAAGCAACGTCGTAGTCACCAGAAGATAACTCAACGGAGGCGGCACTTGAATATACTTCCCAAACGACCGAAACACAACTCTAATCTCCAAACAAATCACAACCACAACCACAGCAACCGCCCCACTCACAACCCTAACACTCTTCATCCGATGAGAGTCCCACCAAAGCCCACCTCTCGTCGAGGCATAAAGCTGAAACAAGAAAGGGATAAAAAACAAAAGCAGCAAATCGCACACGCTCGCCGCCGACGCGAATAAAACAGAGTAATGAGACGCCACGTGGAATAAAACGGGCGTGAAGATCAAATTCAAAGAAAGGAAGCAACTTTCTAATGTTCCGAGGATAAAGCAATCATCAGGAGCCTCTCCTCCATGATACTTAACTTCGTGTTTGGTCTTGAAAGACGAAACCCTAGGAATCGCGAAGATCCAATAGAACACGCAATCGAACACTAAGAAGTAGTAAGAGGAAGAGCTGTTCATCCCAAGGGCGGAGATCGTGGCCCAGGTGAAAAGCGAGGAGGCCGTGAAAGGGACGCAGGAGAAGAGGAGACGCTCGAGGGCGACGACGATTGAAGGATTCTCGATGTGGAGCCACTTGAATTGGAGAGAGGACCAGACTCCGAGGAGGAAAGTGGTCTCTGCGCAGAGGAAGGCGGAGAGGAAGGGGAGAGGGAGGGAGGGGGAGGAGGAGAGGAAGAAGGAGATCTGTGCGGCGAGGAGAGACGTCCATATTCCGAGGAAAGCTCCGAGCTTTAGGTTGAGGGAGTCGGCGACGTAGGAGATGAGGAGGCCGATAGTGAGGGTGGAGAGGACGGGGGCGCCGCCGAGGTCGAGGAGGAAGAAGGCGCAGGGGAGGAGGGCG